GGGAAGCCATTGCAGAGCGCTGATCCGGCTGCAGCTCCTCCAGCCCACGCGGCCGGAGGGAAGGGGCTGTGTGAGCAGTCTCAACGCCCGCTTGTCGCCGTGCAGAAATGGCAAATGCCAACCCCTGCTCCCCACGCATGGCAGCCAGCGTTGGGCTTTTCCGGCTCTCCCGACGCCCTGTGCTGGGAGAAGCCTTTGCTCAGCTCCATGCCCAGAGCAAGGACTGCCGCGAGACCCCAGCTCTGTGCAGGGCACCGTCCACATCCTTCACTCCCAAGATACAGAACTGGGCAGCAGCCAAGTTTCAGCTGCGCTGACAGTGCAAAGTCCAAACGTTCCCCTGTAGACACGTCCTGCTCCCCTCGACGGGCAGCAGGAGCAGCTTTCCATGGGAAGCAGGGAAAATCTGCAGGGCTCAGTCTCACCGCGCGTGAGGATGCTCCTCCATCCATCCATCCTTCCCTGGCACAAGAGCGATGGTGCTGCCGCTGGCTGGGCCCTGGCTGAGTAATGGCCCGGCTCTCCAGTCCCCTCCTGGAGGGCTCTAGCTCCTGGAATGATGAAAGAGGCGGGAGGGAGGAAGAGGAAAAATAATTGTTCTCTGCTGGGAGCTTGACCTGCTTCACGAGGAGCCCAGAGCAGCTACAGAGTTGGGAGGGGAAAAGACACAGCAAGAGGGAAGTGAAAAATACAGCTGAGGGCACCTCGGCCACAGAGGGATCCATCTAACCCCATGCAGGTGCCAAGCCCAGCAAGGCCGCCTGGAGACACAGGCAGGAGGACAATCCACAGGCAAACGGACGCCCACAGGCCCCCACCTAGGAGGAAGGAAGACCTCAAAAAACACAAATTCTGACATGGAGATTTGCTCAGAGATGCAGCCTCTGCTCCTGCTGTGCCAGGATGAGCACACGGGGGTTTTTGCTCAGAGGCAGCCACGATGGCAGGGATCTCAAGGGACTTCTCAGCCACTTGTCTCCACACACGAGCTGCAAAGTGCCGACAAGCCCTTCCCATTCTCCTTTGATCCTCAGCCCCAGGCCTGGCTTGGGAGGCTGTTGTGACACGAGCTTTGTCAGAGCTCAGAGACCAACAAACTGGCTGGGATAAGTCTTTCTGAGACAACTTGGATGAGCGTTTTCTCCAGGACATGCATGTGAACCATTCCCGTGAAGCCAGGACATGGCTTTGCTCCCAGTGGCAAACATCAGGCAGCGGGATCCTTTCCACTTGGTCCTTTGACAGATGACTGGAAACCCGGTTGAGCTCAGGTCTGCAGCAAACAATCAGTCTTGTGTTCAGGAAGCCTCCGTGTTTCCCAAATACCGCTAATTGCGGGAGCAAGCGAAGAGGGAAGCTGAGGATTCCGTCCTCAGACAGAGGAACTCGCCCCCCTCCAAGCCAGCGTGTCCTTCGGAGGACTAACATCAACTCCAGCTTATGAACTGATGCAGAGGGGTCAGTAGGGACCTTCCTTTCTGCCTTGGAAGCCCAGGAGACGCAGAGTTGAAGGTAAGTCGTTAGGCTACAGCAAGGGCCTAATTGGCTGGGCTCAAATAAGCTTTGCAGCAGGTGCTTCCATTTTGCCTCTTTCTTCAAAACAGCCTCTAGCAGAGCAAAATCCTGGTTCCATTGAAATCCACAGGGATTTTACCTGGGCAGCAGTGTTAATAGGGTTCCTCAAAGTTCACACTACAGGTCTGTACCCCTCAACACCCCAACGAGCAGATGACTTCCCTCCAGGGAAGAGTTTGCACCAACCAGCAAGCTCAGGAGGCGCTTGCATTGCTGGACACCAACCTGAGTCACCTTCTGGGAGTTGGATGCGGAAGGGAGTGGAAATCTCCCCAAAATTCTCCTCTCACGACCCAAATCAGCAGGCTGCTGGCCAGACCTTTGCCAAACTTGCCCAAACAGAACAGTGCAGGGAGCAGCACTGCCCCCCTGCATTGCAGTCACCCCCCGAGGGCGATCCGAGCCATCCCCAACTGCAGGCAGCAACCTGGAGAGCACAACAAGGGGATCCCCTCTGCTTTAGCAGAGGTTTTGATTTGTTTTAGTTTTAAACCTTTCCCTCTCTGAAAACTAGCTGTTCTGCAATAGCAGTTCAAGCTTGCCCCTTTCAAAAGCAAAGAAAAACGACTGTCTTCGCCTTTGCTTTTCACTTCATGTAGCCTAAAGTGCTTTCTGATCCCAGCCCAAGGCCCCAAGCAGCCTCCCTGCAATGGGGCTTCTGGAGGAACACGGCCTCTCCTGCAGCTCCTCGCTGCTTCCCAGGGAGCCTCGCAGAGGGGCCCCGGCTGCGGCCGCTTTACCTCGGACACGTTGACGCGGCCTTCCAGGAAGGAGCAGTCGACCACGTTGTGGGTGCAGATGTGGCGGTACTTGCACCACTGGACTGGGGCGGAGGCGGTGCCGCACGCAT